TGTAATTAGTGTTTCAACAATTTTTTGATTAATGTTTTGTTTCTGTTACAATATTATGCTTTAATGTATAATATTGTAAAGGAAACAAAACATCAATCAAAAAATTGCTCTCTTTTTTATTCGGGCTACTTAAATTTATTTTGGGCTACCAAAAACCGAAGAGTCCCTGCCCGAAGGGCTACCAGGGATTTTGAAATTTTGCGAGCCCTGCACCATGGTAAATATATATAAATATATAGAAACACAGTCACTGCAATTATTCACTGATAAAGTGTTTTGTGCGCTTGACTACAAAACTTTACCCGTTTTCATGAAATCCTGGCGAGAGACGTGCACCATTAATCACACTTTACCCTATGCTAACTAATATATGTCCTGTGACAATCAGCAGCCAGACTGCTAATACACCCGGAAGCACATCACTGTTCTAATTGGCATTGCTGTTCTCCAGTGTTCCTTGTGTGAAACTCCCAGTGTTGATCGCTGCTGAGCTGTTGATAGGAAAAGGTGAGGGAAGACAAAAACAGCAAGGTTAGATTTTGGGAAAAGGCTGGGTTGAGGGGAAAAAAAAGGTATGATCACATAACCTCTACATTCTGTATTGCAGCAACATCTTGCCCTGCAGGTGGGAAATCAAACACTTATGGTAAAAATAGCCTTGAGATACTGCACCACTTTTACCCCAGCATGGAAAAAACAAAATATGTGTTCATGTCACAACATATATTTAACAAAATCAATGAATGCTAATCTACCCACTATGTTAGGTTTTTATTTTATTTTATGTTTTATTTTATTTTTTTCACAAGAAGCTGTCGTAGCCACGATTTGCTAGCATTGTGCTAAACAGAAGTGTTGTTTTGTAATATATGGTCCTAAAAGAAAGCAAAATTGTTACTACTTTCAGTAAACTCTGTGGGCTAACATCCAGGAAAGTTCAAAGGTGCGTCAGTTTGGATACTTAGTAAGTAGTGCTGGTGTACTGCCACTGTTTTCGGTAGGGTAGTGAACAATTATAACTAGGCAGGCCTTTGTCCACATCTAATTTTAAAGTCCTAGTTTTTCCTGTTAGGCAGCTAGCTAGCGTTAGCGTCGCCATCAATGCTGATGTTTGTTGTTTTAAAATTTGACCGATACTCCATTGCCCGCTAAAAAAATTAACTGGAACCATTGCTACATGTAGCCACCCACACTTGTCTATGTGAACTGAAGTATGAAGTCATAACTGCAAGTCTAAGTATGGAAGTATGAGATTTGAGACAGAACACAATAAAGAAATCAGCTTTCTACTCATATTGGCTCCTGTTGTGAGAAAGAGGAAGGAAAAGCTGTCAAATTATTCTCTGACATCCTCAAAGAGGCCCATTGCAGCCCACTGGCATCTGTAAGCCCACCTTACTGGAAGGAATAAATGGTGCCGAATGACACTGAGGATGTTTGCTTTGATAATGCCAAAGCCTGTTTGTGTCTGTGTCAGGAGTCGGGCGGTTAATCCAGCCTACATTCCAGGTCCTGATATCAATGCCGTGTTTGAGAACCGTTGGGCGAGACTTGCTGTCATGCTTGAGGAGAGCAGCCGTTGCTTTACACTGTCTGCTTTCTATGAAAGGAAGGGGGTGTATGGGAAGGAGCAGGGACACATATTCTGTCGGATTTACTTTTCTATTCAGTTGCGCTGGATCAGTACCTCGTTCCAGGCCAGCACAAAAAGAGAAACCTTTCTGTATCTGTGTTGTTATCAAATCATAATTGCTTTTTTCTTCGTCTTTTTTTTCCTGTTTTTTTGCAGAATTTATGAGCGGGTGATAGACCCTCCCCAGATGGAGCTCACCCCAGGCAGTGGAGTGTGGCTTGGCCAGCATAGCCACAGGCATGGTCTGTTTAAGGTAAGACTCCACAGATAATATGCAGACTTTATGCACCTTAGCATGTTTCACATTCAACATTGCCAGGTGTAATTGGGCAGATTTACAGTAGGTTGTGTGGGGGAAGAACGCCCGCTGTAAGATGCAAGAGTAAAGTATGGAGGGCTTACAGAGGAGCTGCAAAAAGCGCAGCTTGAGCTTTTCCTCCCTTGTTTCCAAGCCCATCACAATGATGTCGATTTTTAATCTGTGCTTGTTTTCTCCAGCTTCTGCATGCATTCGCAGCAGGGAGCAGACATGGCAGGGAATCACAAGGACATGCACATTACCTTGATATTCCTACCTCTACTGCCCACCCGTCATGCAATCAATGGGCCTTTTTTGTCTTTGTAACACTGATTAGCCAATAGGCCCTTTTGTGGTGTGATTTATGTCTCCTCTTCATGCTTTGACACTATCGCTGCTGCACATGAGCACCATTCCTTCTCCGTTTACCTCCTTCATCCCTTCTTGCATCGACACTTCAAGGAACTCCTTCTTTTAGTCAAAGACTCTGGTCTTGAAAGACAGAGCCCCATCAGGCAGTTCCCTACCTGCAGTCAGCTCGGTGCCTTCCATGTGCAGGGAGCACTAAAAAGTGTTTGTCAGCAGCCAAGACAGAGTGTGGAAGAGCGAAAGCTTGTGTGAAGAGACTGAGGGAATGAGGAAGTTCTCCCTTCAGATTGACACAAAGTTAAGATGAGAGATCGTGTCTGACAAGTGCAGTAGCTCATTGTATCAGTGACCTGCTGCTTTGTGCATGATAAAGGTTATTTAGAGCTGCACGTTTCCCCTCCTGTTCACATCATTAGTTGTTACAGGAAAAGTGACGTTCAGATGTCTGAGACCTCCAGATGCTATTCACCTTTTCTTGAAAATGTAGTGCTGTTATTTTTTATATTGCAGCTGATAATATTAGATGAACAATTCAAAACCCTGTTTTCTTTTTTGATTGCATGGAATTGACACATTCAACTCATACTGCTACAACTTTTTTTTTTGTTCATGTTGTTCCAAAGAGCTTCTTATGAAGTCAAGAATCCTTAGCTTCCTGTGCTGCTCTCTTTGAACACTTCAGTGTAGCCACAATTTCACGCTTAGAAAACCCCTCTCGACTGATGACTCTTCCCCTGAATTCTTTTGCTATCTTTCCCACTATCACAGTGCTACTTAGTATGCAGCGTTTTAGCTGGAAACTTGAGGTGCAGCCATATTTTTAGCAGATGAACAATAGTTTATGTAGTTTTGTACAAGCCGGGCAGGTCAACGGAAGGCAATTCCTGTGAGGGATCCAGCTCAAAAGTGTCCTTTAGTCTGAGAGAATTAACACGGTCATTGCTGCAAATGCGTTTTGCAGTTTTAAAATAATAAAGAGATGCGTTCTTTATTTTACTGTTATTACTTATAGATGTCCAGCTGTATGATTACTTCCAGGCTTACATAGAAATGTAGGAGAATTTGGATCCGGTCTGTGAGACGCACTTGTATATTTTTCGCTGCCTGCATGCAAACAGGTCACATGTTGCTCATAAAGCAACCTCTGAAATCGTAACAATGGTTTGTGTTCCAATTAGCATCCAAGGTCCTGCTAAAGGAGGCGAGTTACCTACTTACATTTAAACATTGTCTACTTCTCCTTTTCTTTTTAATTATTGTTCCTTTGATTGTGTTGTTGGAAAAGAAAATGTGGTTAAATATACCAGTTGTAAGCTGTTGTTTTTTTTATTCCCCAGTCTTTAACCCTTTAAAGCCGGTGGGAGCGGGCACGCTCCGTTTTGCGTAACTATTTTTAAATCCCGGTAGCACTACAACCACGTCAGCTAGCGCAATAATTTTTTTTGCATATGAAACCGGAGTTGTACTTACATCTTATGCCTAGGTCACAGTTTCCTTCCACGTATAGCTTTACAAAAACTGCATAAAAAGCACTTGCAGCAACAAAAAAATAATATTCCAGAAACACGCTTTGCCGATCCGATCAGCTGTTTGTAACACTTCCTACGTCCATTAGTGAGAACTATCACATGTCCGCCATGACCTGGCCGAAACCAGAAGTGGCGTCATTTTGCGGAAACGTAGTTTTTTACCATCAGGGCCTCATGAGCCTATACTGGTGTTTTTAAAAGTTATGTTTGACTTTATGACTTTCTGTGTCGTTTCTGGGATGCTTAGGACTGCTGGAAATAGTTTATTTTGATGCATATGCTGTTATTTTGCAAATTTGCATTATAATATTTATTTTTGTTTTTCCTGCAGTATATAAAAATTGGTGTATTTCAAAAATAAAACTATGAAGACACTCAAAATAAAGATACTGTGGTAGGAAACTATTTTGTGCAACTTTTTTGTATTTACATTTTTGAGGGATAAGCCTCTTAAATTTCTCTAACTAGAAATATATGTTAAAAAAACAAATGATTTTCAATTTTTGTGTAGTTTATTGCACTTTTTTTGCAATTTATGTAATTACTATGCACTTAATGCAAACATTTTGTTAAAGATTTGGGCTATAATGGTTGTATTGATGTATAGCAACTTGAAATGCTCCCAAAAATGGCACTACAGCATGTAAAAATATAATATAAGCTCTGGCGGACTTGGTTCTATGGTAGGTCTTAAAGGGTTAATATTTATATAACTGTATTTAAAGCACAGGGACACAGCATGCCTCCAACAATACACCATTGGTACCTCTAAGTCATTAGTTTAATCTGTGCACAAAGAGAATGTAGAAAGTTTGAAAATGTGGCATTGTCCAACTTGTTTGCTATTCTCCTCACACACTCCCTATTGCTCCTTCCTTTAACCTGCTAAAGACGAGAGGATAAACTTAGGTCTCCTCATGTCTAAAGCTGAGAAGGGTTTGTTGGGAAAGGGGAGAGGAAAAAAAATAAATAAAGAGGCGAGGTGAAGGGAAGAGAAAAATAGCCAAGAGCTATAGAAGTAACACTGCAGATAGAGATAGGGGGTGAAATAAAGCAGCAGCTGTAATCTATCGCATTCAGTGTGCGGGAATGGGATAATGATAAGATGGGCTAACTAGGCCTTTAAATAAAGCATATTGAGCCCTTGCAGTAGCTTGGGATGCTCTTCATCCTCTCAACACTCCTCCTCCAGGGAACCTCTCCATCTGAGGGAGCAACTGTAATAAATTATCTTTATCTAGAATCCATTGTGCCAAGGATGCTGACTCCTCAGGGACTCCGCAAGCTCGTTTGGAACCGCTGCTTTTGTGAAACGCTCTATGTTTCATGCACTACAGGACAATAATGAATCTAGTATGGACAATGATGGAAAGACTGAATGCATTACATAAGGCAATGTGAAGTTTCAGGAGTCAACGTCTCCTTTACCTTACCTGCGTCTCACTTTGTCCTCTGTTGCCCGGTTGTTTAAATTACTTTCTTTATCTTTTCTTCACGCACCTCATCTTTTTCAGTGCATCACTCAAACATTACCATTTTATCCTTTGATATGTTCGCTCTCTTCAACCCAGTATCAGTGGTAATACAGTAATAATACAATACAGGCTGGGGTTAATTCAGCCTACTTTATAATGGAAAATGGAAAAGAAACTCTTGGGATGAATGGGAAATTTGCACATTTTGGAATAAATTTGAATTTTTTGAAGAGCTGAACTTTAAAAAATCCTCTATATTTTCCTTGTAGTTGCTCTGCATTCCCTTGTTCATAGTTTAAGAGTAGGGTTTAGGGCTTACAGATTTTTATATCAGTGTATGAATCATTTGTATTTTTTCAATACTAGTTGCTGGACAGATAAATAAGACTCTGCCATTATTCATTTCTAAAGTTTCCTTACCATAAGCGCATAAAATAAATTCTCAACTCTTAAAACACGATTCTATGTGCTTAAATTCAGGTTAACGTCCTTGATATGTCACAGAGTGTGTTTATCAGGAGGGCTCCCATTAGGTTCTAGTGCAAAATAATTTTCCATGCAATTGGACGACTTTTACAGCTAAGTAAACTTTTCAAACATCATTGTTTGAAACTGAAGCTGAAGAAATTGTGTGTGCTCACAGCATAAGAGGTTCATGTGTGTGTATGTGGGTTGTTGGGTTTTTTGCTCAAAAACAGAACAATCCACTGTTTACTTGCCTATGTGTGGCATTGCAGCAGGGTGTAATGAGCTGTCTCTCAAGTCTGCATATGGGGGTCAAAGTTTTTACTGTTCCTTTATGCCCTTTTGATAGGTCGATACAAACACAGTTAATAACATTTGATGACCTTCAGACCCCGCTAGAACACGGAAATGTCATGTTGTGCATGATCAAAGGGAGGAAAAAGTACTGCTGAATAAAATCTCTTCCAGGATAATAAACGTCTGTCAGTGCTGCCTGCAGGCAAAGCTTTGGCCAACCTGGCCTTGAGGGCGTCACTGAGTGAAATAAGTATTTGATACTCTATAACCCAGCTAGAACTTTAGCTCCCACAGATTGTTTGACTGACTGATTGTAATCTCAATCAATGACAGTCAATTGCAGATCTGTATCTCAACTCCTATATAAAGCACACATGTCTACAGGATCAATTTCTTCCATTTCCACATCTTCACTACTGTAGGAAAGACCAAAGAGCTATGAAAGGTAGTCAGGGACAAGATTGTAGAGCTACACCAGGCTGGAATGGCTGTAAGACCATCAGCAAGAAGCTTGGGGAGAAAGTGACAGCTGTCAGAGGGATTATCCAGGGATGAAAGAAATGGCCACCGATTGCCCTCAGTTTACAGCTCCATGAAAGATTTTGCATTACAATATGGGACAAAACTATACAGGAGGAGCGTGTTAATGATCTGAAGGCAGTTCGGACCACAGTCCCCAAGAACGCCATGTTTGGAGGAAGATAAATGCTGGGTATTACCCAAAGAACACAAACCACACAGTCAAGCATGGAGGTGGAAATATTGTACTTTGGGGCTGTTTTTCTGCTACAGAATGACTTCTAATTGAGGAGCAAGTGGA